TAGTTGGCACGGTAACGTGCATGGTAATGGACAAAGGCTTTGGACCAAATCACATTCCAACTAGCAGAGAGCAAATATTCATTTGTATCTATTTGGGGCTGTACTGGTATTAAATTGGAAAACAGGGGTCTGGAGCAAGAATATTGGATTTTGAAGGAATATTATAGAGCAATCATCTGACACGAGGTGACTGCAATCGAATATTCTTTAACTACGGGGAAATGACCTGTTATCGCTGCAGCAGAGTCAGAGGAGTGTTTCTGCAGATGGCGATAGCTGGTGGAGCAGATGGTGGAAAGTCGGATAAAGTTGTAAAGTTGGAGATTCTAATATATATATCTATCAGGGTCGGCTACAGAAATCTTTCTGATACAGATTTGCTTTGCACTGAAATAGCTGCCGTGCTTGGAGGTAACATAACTTTGCCGCTCATGCCTTGGTTACGTAACATTTAACTCTGATGGCAACACACTCTCTACATAGCTCTGGCAGCACATTAGCCTACAGTTAGCTAGGAGCTAACTCAAAATTGTGTTGACACAACAACATATGCCTAAAGCTAAACAGTCCATATTGTGCCTGTATTATATGAGATGGAATCTCAACATTGGGATGTGCAGCAAATGTTTGAGAACAATCCAGTGTAAAGGCCGGAACTGAGATGGTGTGAACATTTTGCATCATGATTGGAGCTTAAATCATTGTAGTTGGTTTTATTTATTATGTAATGTTTGAATATTTAAGTTAGGTATACTTCAAACTGTTAATAGTTACTATGTCAAATTTCTACTTTTTGCCTATGTATGTTTCAAATAAATTACCTATGAACAGAAAGAGACCAATATGGAGTTATATATGGAGACAGACAGACAGACGGGCAGAGAGACAGCCAGAGTGACATTAGATTTCTTCTTTAAAGAGCGGGGTGATTCAGTCTATCAACGCCCACAGAGCCTGCCCATCCTCATAAAAACTGTGATTCTGTCTCGGCTTACCGAGAACACAACATGACATTTAGCTCTGAACTCTGGTCTGAAACTCCCACGCAAACACAAAAGCATGATTGAAAAGGAAAAAAAGCACAATTGAACACATTACAGAGAAACAGGTATAACAATGCCAATGTCATATTAAATGCTGATGCACAGAGGGAAGTCTTAATTACATTAACACTGAAACACACATAAACACGCTCCTCATCACAACCACACAGGAGTAATTAAACTGAAACATCATGAGGGATTCTGCTAATTAAGGGTGTAACGTTTGTCCCAGTTTTCCATGTTACTGTGTTACACGTTGTCCAGGTACTCACAGATTAAATAAATGATCCATTAATTTCTTTTTTTTTTTATCTATATAAGAATGAAACCAATTTGCTACTTTTTTGCCCATCACTAGTAGCATCCATCATCAATTAAAGAACTCCACTTTTGTGAAATACTAGTTATCAACACTACAATTATAAACTGAAAGTGTCTGATCGGTGCTGCAGCAGAGTCTCATCACGAAATGAGATGAGAGGTGACTGACTAGGCGGAGAATTGATTGACAAAACAAAAAAGGCAAAAGCGTAAGCTTAATCAGCAATATTTCGGCTGTCCGCAACTTTTACAGAACACCAGCGTTGTCACCAGTTAATTACCCAGTGGGAAAATGTCCACACTGCAGCATCCTTAGAGGGGGTTGACCAGCATGTTCCCACACTGGTGACTTGAAGGTGCCCAGGGTGTCTGCAGTCTGCAGGGGGTATAATCCATCTAGAGCTAATTAAGATACAGCCCAACCTTTACTGCAGGTGGGATCACTCCATCATTTGGACTAATATAGTCACAAGACACATGCAGTTGCGAGAATAAAATAGGTGCAATGTGGAATATTAACAAATCACACAGCCTAAATGTTACAAAGAACAATTGTTTTGTGATTTACTTGTGTTAAAGTGTTAGTATTGAAATAAAAAACGTTTTGTGGACGTTTGTACAACCAGATACTGATATCAGCAGAAGTATTTCAAAAGATTTTAAATTGGCAATAATAACTAAGATGCTGTTAACAAAACCCAATGACAGAGAAATCTAATTGGGGCTTGATGTGTTACAGTTTAACCATAAAATAAAATGTAATTAATAAAATAAACATAAATATTTTGATGTAAAATGTTAACATAAATGCACATCTGTTAATGCGTTGTTGATTCTGTAGAATAAAAGCAATCATAACCACTGATAACATTAAGCCTGTGAAAGGCTCATTTTTTTATCAGCCAACCTATAAATCGGTCAGGCTCTAAATATCATTACACCCCCTACTGCAAACACTTTTAGACAATAAGGCCCCTCAGAGGCCGCACTGCCGCCAACAATAAAACCAGTTACATGATGATCCCGTTACACATTGGTGATTAAAATCCCATTACTTAATGTTTATACATCAGCTTTCTTGCCCTGTAGAACAACAGTAGAGATGATGGAAAAAAAACACTGAGCATTCAGCTCGACAAAGCCTTGTCGAACCCGAACCCTCACATAACCCAACGCTGAGCTGTTGGAGCACAGACTCTGCACATAGCTGGATCATCCCACTCTCACAGCACCCACTCAGGGACTATAGATTAAAATAAAACTTACTTGGATGCCTGTGTGAAACAATGACTGAAGAGGTACTCCCACAAAATCCTATTCCACACCGTGGATAATGCTAAATTTCACCCTTCCGGCCATCGAATACTCCATTAGCTATCTTCCACTTTTTCTCTCGCTCGTCTCCCACACGTCCTAGTGTCTCTCTGCTCATATTTTTACAGCGGGAATGTGTCAATTATCACAATTCTTTCCACTCTCTATCCTTCTCTTCTTTTATTATCCACCTTCACCCTCTCCAAATTTGTCGACATATATATCCCCTGTTGGAATATCTTTCTTTTTCACACCAGAACTGCAAAAAGAAACTCCACTCTAACATTTCTTCAGTTGTAAAAAAAAATTGTTAGGGATTCAGGTAACACAGAACCGCAGGACGAAACTGTTGCTTGTTTTGGGTAAAGTGACTAGTGTTGTTTTTAGGACCTTCTTTGTGAAATAGTGTAATGTGGCTCTTTCACACTCCAGGACCTGAGCAGCTTAATGTCATCACTAAAATGACAAGCAGTCATAGGGCATCGAAGATTCAGTAACACACAGGCATCTTGGAGGACTCTATCCTGTGCACACCTCCAGCAATACTCCTCGCAGACAGTCACTAATTACAGTAGGCAAATAGAAAGATAGACAAATCCATGTTAATGGAGTGAGTTAATAGAGAAGAGGCTGGAACTGTTTTGGTGGTTGGGTGAAATTAGGGAGGGAAAGATAAACCGGAGAAAGAAATAAAAAAAAAGTGGGGGGTGATAACATTGGGAGAATATGAGAGAAAGAAGAATTGTTGGAGGAAAAGATACCGTCTTCTGCTCTATAGCACCGTGTCCCTGGGTGATTGTCTAGAATATGTATGTGTGCTCTGTGAGCAGAATATTGAATCTTTTTTTCTACCGATTGATTCTCTATCTTGAATTTACAGAAGCAATTAAGAGTAAAAGACCATTAGGGTCCATTATATCTAATTCAGTCCACAGTACAATAGGTTTAGATTGTTGTAACAACTGCAGCTATCTCGATCAATACTAAATGAACTCCAGATTCAAGCCGGATGTAAGTCCTAACAAAAGCTCAATATGAAGTCCTTGGATGCATTTTAAAATGAGAACAGCAATCAGCAGAGATCTTCGCCAAGTCCAAAAAGCACTCTTATGAAACCACATCTAAATTCACGAGATAACGATCTTTATTTGGATCCACATTATATTTCAAATAGTCAACAAAATACATTAATTATCATCTTATCTTATTATTAAGGTAAATGTGCAATGTTAAAGAATGTGAAAAAAAAAAATCCTGGATCTGCCCTATGATCCACATCCAAACCAAAATGTATCTTGCTTACATACAAATGGAAAGGGGTGAAAACATAATAACTCATTGGCAGAGGCAATAACAGAGTATGAAAAACAATAATGAAAAATTTCACGTCTCGTTCACATTGTCATACACCCATGTGGCAACTGCTGAGCAGCAGTCAGATTTGGCTTTGCACTCTGCACAAAGCTTCATCTTTGACAAAATAAACAAAAGTAAAGATAACCCTGAATGAATTTTGATAACCTCTCTTAGAGAAAATCCGCTTTATTTGAGATGGGGAGAAGTGGGGTGGGAATATGCAGAACCTCCTACGCATATTTCTAGGGAGTAATCCAGAAGGCTGTTCACTGGCGTGTGTAACACTCAGGCAGCTCCACAAAGACGCATGCAAATGAAGTTAAGACTCGAGTGGAGCAACAGGGGAAGAGGGGACCAAATAGCTGCTCACTGTCAACTGCTGAACACAAATATGGAAAAGCTTAGTCTCAGAAGCTTTTTGATATTCAAGGGACCTTACATACCACTGAAAGAACAATAAGTCACTATCCTCTCCACCCACCATCCACCTCCCCCATTCTTGAGCTCTTCTGACAGTTATTATCTATTTGTGACACAACAGCTCAGTCAATTAAAACAACTTGGCAACTTGGCAGTGCTGGCAATAAAAATCACCTACCTACCTACCTACCTCAAAATTATATAAAGTAACCTTTCTTCTAGACCCTAAAATAAAAGCCTTATTATTTCCGTCTATTTCTGACAATATTCTGTAAACACAACTGTCTGCCAGAGTGTCAACAAGGCATGCATGCCCCACTTAGGCTTTTTGAAATGGAGGAGGCCACACTTTTGCAATCAGTCTCAGAAACAGGATGGCCTGGAGGTGTCCTATCAGGCTCTCTGATGCTCGCTTTTGATGTACAGCAATTTTCTAACATTCGCCTACAAGCCGGAGCTGTATAGGGATGCAGTCTTGTGTGAAGTGATACAGGTGGTTTGTGAATACGAGGGACACACACACATATAGTCTATGAAAGAACTTACATGTCCAAGGTTAAAGAAACCATGTTCCCTGGCGATGCGGTCCGCCTCCTCTGGCCCGCCAACGATCTGAACAGCCCAAGTGTTGGTGTAGACCTCTGCATCATCAATCCCCTTAAGCTCAGCCGTCAGGAGGACAAGGACTGCCCAGAGGTGCAGCAGGGCCACCCTGGCATCCATGAAAGTGAGAACACTTCACAGGGGGGGGCAGTCTATCCGTTCGTCTGTCACTGCTTCCCAGGCAGGGCGGGGCTGCTCTACCTCACAGCAGAAAAGTAGAATAGTGGCCTAGAGATAAGAGGGACAGAGGCAGCTATAAACACAAACATGGCCTTCGTAACTAGGTCACTCTTGGACATGAATTACACCATTCAGAAAACAACAACCAAAAACTGCAGCAGATATAAACAACACACCCACAGACCTTATCGTGAATCATCACTGAGCTCACTGCCCACCATCAAACTCAGAAGGAAAAAAAAGATACATCTTAATAAAAGCACAAAGGTCAAAGCAGACGAGGCCTACAGGGCCAAAAATAGAATTATTTTTCAATATCCCCTCGCCCTTTTTCAGACCAGGGCTGGTAGTGTATGATAATGATATACAACAGTCGTGTTGCTGCAAAACAGGATGAGCTCCAAGCAATCTGTACACAGCTAAATGTGGCAACCAGGCAAGGCGTCTGAGGGAGAGGATATTCAAACTCTCACTCATACACTGCTTAGTTTTAAACTGTTCCAAATTTTAATCTCAACCAAATTCTTTTTATGTAGTAAAAGGTTCATCATATTTTAATTGAAAAGTCAAATAAAATGTGATAAAAAGTATAATTCTTTGAGCAGACTGGGACTTTCTGCAGGACTTTGATTTGTGGCTTGAAGGAAACAGAGCCTTTAAGTCAAACATAAAAAGGAAGAGCTTTGTGGTAACTTAACCGAAACTGAATGAGAGGAGAGATGATAGAGTGTGGGAATCCACCGGGTATGTCAGTTTATCCTGAGTAAGATGAAGAGGAAGGTGGTGCAGGCAGGTATAAATGCATGTCCAGTCCCACTGCTGATCCCAGCGTCGTAGCATCTCAGTGCCATTCAGTGAGTCAATCCCCGATGCACCACTGACTGATGCGAAAAGAAATAGGAGCTACTGCAGGTGTTCGATCTAAGCCATTGTGAATTTAACAAATTTAAGACTGTTGAATTCATTTATGACGTTATTCTGGGTCCTCTGGGAGAAGTGAAAAAAATTCAGAGGAATTTCTTGCCAATATAAAACCTCTTAGCAGGTACACAAAGGTAGAGGCTGCCGAGGAAACAGGCTGATAGGAGCCTTTCACAGACGTAACGCTATCAGTGTTTTTTTGCTGATGAGCTGCACTTACATGAAAACTTGTATTTTTTACCAAACAAACACAATTTAGACAGGTGTCTTTCCTGCATTATGTTCATGAAACTTTAATTGTTTATCTATTTATTATTATATATTTGGTTGTATGTGTATTTCCTTTTTATTTACAGTTATTTATAAAATTATGGTTAAAATCATAATACTAATCAAAAATAAAATCAAGCCTCAATTACATCATCTCAGAAATCATTGCCAGTTTTTCCACACATATCAGCCGATATGTTTGTATCAACAGTGTTTTCCTCCCTAATACTGGTATCGGCCCCGAAAAATGTTCAGGCTCTACAGAAAGTGCATTAGAATGGTTGTTATTCACATCGCCATGGTAAGATGTTCTTGTAAGTATTTTTTTTATCGTCAGTCAGTTAGTGCATCTTCTTGAAAACTACTATCTACAGATGATAGAGAGACAAAAACTGAGGTGATTGGTTGCAGCAGCTCATAGGAGCCGAAGTGCCTTGGCAGCAACTCCAACGCTGATGGATGGCGGTGTCTAACATATCTAAACTCTCCCATAGGTGTTCACTTAAATAGAGATTTAGTGAACCACCAGCCTATTTCATCTATTAGGCTACAATAAATATAAAAATCTAGCTGCCAGGTCAATTTGAGCTTTCCTGTCAGTTCAGTATCAGAAAATGGACATTGATGATCCTCAGAGGATGACTCATGTTTCGTTGACCACCTGCCCTTAATATATTTGCCCCAATAGATACACCGCAATGAAGATTACTGAGCACGCTAACCCCTTTATTTTGTGCAGTTTAATATCTGTCCCTTGTGCTCAGGTCTCATGATGGAGTAAGCAGATTGTCATGATATTTGCTTAGCACTTTTAGACTCCAAAGGAGATAGACCCTTCAAATTCTAACAAGCATGTGGTCTTTCCTCCATGGCCACCCTCCGAACAAATTGCATTTTCAACCTCAGTTCCTTCAGGCTCTGAAAAAAGCAAAATCATCAGTGGGGGTTCTTTCTGTTTCAAGTTTTGGAGTGTAATAAAGCTTGCAAGCTTTAGGGGTTCCGTTTAATTAACGGTTTGTGGAAAACAATTGGGCTTCTGAAAGGTAAGGCAAACCTGCAGCAGAGCAAATCGAGTTCCACAGACTGTGGCTGAGTATGTTTAGACTCAGAAGAGACTCTTAGAGAAAAAACAATGTACTTCCACAATGCATTCCAATTACAAGGTGATTTTTTTGGCAGTAGTTGAAAATGTCAAAAGCAGTCTGGTAAAACAGATGGCATCTGACCACACAACAGTTAAAGACAGCCATACCAGGGAATTTGGGTTTGATGTCGCGACTTTGTCAAAGTACTATTTTTGTCACGATTCTGAAATTAATACTAATACAACAATACAAACCTCCACAATCTCGTATCACGATACTTGCTGACAGAACTGCAAAACCCCAACCTGCTAATAACTTAACTAATGTATCAAAATTCCTTTTTAATTTCACAGCTATCATGACATTACACATCAATGTCAATCAGGTTGGCACAGTGGTGCAGTGGTTAACACTAACCCAGCACAGCAAGATGGTTCCTTGCAAGATGGTTGCTTGTCTCTTTATGTTGGCCTTTTGATATGATAGCTATCCAGTGCCCTGCCCCTCTTGCATTGTCAGCTGGGACTTGCTCCAGCCGCTCCGTGACCCTAAAATGATGAGTGATACAGATAATGGATGAATATGTGAATCATGAATTAAAGTTAGGGCGAGCCATATACTTTATTACACACTACATTTATTTTATCATCTTAGAACTGCATATGTCACTTCACCATTTTGGCCCAATCATGAGTGATCAGGCTAGTGGTAAAAGTTGGGTGAATTGAACTAGCTCTAAATGGATAATAACTGTAAGAATGGACAGCCTCATCGGGCACATTCAAGTCAACAGTGTTGATTAACCTTGGTCCAAGGTTAAATACCTCAACAAAAACATCATTTTATGACCATCCAGTTTAGAGAGAATCCAAATTGATATTCAACAGTGAATATGGGCCTTGTCAAGTAACTGGTCCTTTTTTAGGAATTGATACACTCAACTAACTCTAACTGACATAATGACTATTGACTGTGAATAATATGAAGAGTAACAAGGCAACTGGTTTGCAGACAAGCTTATGTTGGCCTCAAGTTCTCCCTAAAATCCATATCCTTAAAAAGAGAGAAACATTATAAAACTATTTACCAACACAAAGTCTGTCCCAAACAATTGCTTCCAGGGAGTTTGGCGAATGGAAACTATTCGAAGAGGAGAATGAATAAGTCTACGCTTCACAGCTACATTTGGGAGTGGGTGTGATTTGCGCGCAGCAGGACAGGTGGTGGAGACATGACCAGGGGCTGTCACTCTTCCTGTGGAGCAATTCCTCTGAGCTCATTAGACGCTATGCTGGAGTCACAAAAACAGGAGCAGGGGGTCTGCTGTCACCGAAAAGGCTGAGAGAGAAAGGAATAGATGGGAGGGAGAGGTGGGGGTAGTCCTACCCTTAGACGGCACTGCGGAAAATAACAAGCGCATAATAACACGACGCCCAAAACACCTTCTCTCAAATCAGCCTGAAGAGGAGCTAACAAGACAAGGCTTACTCTTACAATATACATCAAAGGCCTAAAACTGAGATGAAACTACAACCTTCAAACCACAGGAGAACTTAAGACGCTCCAAACTAAACTAGAATGAAAATAGAAAATCAGTTGCATAACCTCTTCTGGGATTAAAAGCCCATTTGCGTGAGTGAGCCAGTGGAAACTTAAGGGTGGATAAGTGACCTGTGCTATGCTAAAATAACACAGCAGCTTAAAAGAATTAATTCAGTGCTTTCTGTTTTAAGCTACCAAGAGACCTCCAAATGTAGTTCAGTATCTCGTAGTGAAAATGAAGGAGGTTTTGATCAAAGATTTTCTCTCCCGTGGAAGTGAACTGCAGCCGACAGCAGCAGCAACAACAGGTTGCTCCCATCAATACACTTTGCCTTGACTTTCAGTCCTAGTGAAATTATAATGAGCAATCCTCTCCTTGACAGCTGAGGTGCCCTTGAGCAGCGGCCTTCACCCTCAACCACTTCAATGAAGCTGCTCGGCAGCCAAAACAACGAGACTGTGTCGTACATAATTACCAAAGAGTGATTCCTGTCGTTTTGACACCCCCTCTCTATTTGAGTATACAAAGATGTGAGGTAGTGGACCATTACTGCATTCATTACCGTCTTGATATCATTATTAAGCCCTTGAGCATCGACATTGTTAGATATTCTGCTTGTTGCTTTAAAGATCACAAGCTTGAAGCTATGTTATGAGCTCATAACTGATTTTTTGAAAGATGTAAGAAGATCATGGGCACATGGGTTTGATACAATAATATCAATAAAGTATTATTCATACTGTATTGATATGTTGTTGTTACAATTATCAATATTTAGCAGCTTTCTCAAGTATAGACAGAGGTTCATTTTTTTCCTGAAATTTATAGTGAGAATGCAAATGTTTGACTCAGTTGGTCCAGACGTTTATTTTTAACATATCACGGACATGTCAGGCTTTGGGATCCCACAATTTATATCTTATCCCAAATCAAAAATGACCAGAGCTCATTACCTTTTATATATCACCTGGTACTGCCATTTCAGATAACAAGCATCATCAGGAGGTGACATTTCCCCCGGCAACCTCAATACATCAAACAGCACCACTTTACTACCTGATTAATATATATGAAGTGAGTGTTGATGACAGCAATTCCTGAAGGTGTTGAATTCTGATCTGGAAATCAAATTACTACAGGTTGACATACTGATCACGATATCTCCCAGCATTATATGCAGGGAATCTTTTTTTAAAAGCTTGTTTACAATATCTGGCATCAGAAAAAAAACATAATTGTCAAACCTCTTTAAAGAACCAGACATGATTGATCCCTGCAGAAGAAATAATAAATAAAACAAATATATGTCAGGATATCATTATTTCCTGTCTCCCATATCCATATTGGTATTGGCTTCAAAAATCCCGGATCACTGAGTTGTAGCTGAGTGAAATGATTAATTATCTGCTTGGCTCACATTTCCACTGGTGATATTGATGTGGTGACATTAACAAAAGCACCAGGCAATGAAGGAACCAAGAGTGTTGAACCAACTCCAACACTCTCTGATATTTGATTTTATAAAAATAGAACTCTAGATCTACCTCATGCAGAGTGCAGCAATATTATAGAGTATTAGACTTGGAGTTAGAGAACTGGGCTCGAGACAGTAAAGAAAGTTGCTGATTTGATTTTCTTTCCCATCTGGAAAATGTGTATGACCTGGAAAACACTTCAAGCCTGGCTGCTCCCGAGAAACTGCTTAGTGAACAGCAGCAGAAGCCTGCGATTACACGAAACATGTTCAGTACTGCAAGTGTGATGTATTTGACAAACTTCCTATACATTAGTATTACTTGAGTAAGACGTGATACATGTAAAAGGGGATCTTGATGGGGACGAGCGGGTGATTTCCATTAAGAGTAATGTGACAGACCATATGCAGCATTCATGCTCAATTTGAAGCTGCCCACCAGCCAAATCAACACTCATCATGTGCCTTACACTGTCCTGTCATAAAAAACCAAGGCACAGGAGAGAAGAGCCACATTTCTGAAGCACCACTGACAGCAATTTCCCTCTCACGAGAGGATGCTTCCCTAAGTTAAAATGTGATTGGAAAAAAGCAGAGGCATTGCACCAGCATCTTGCACTCAGTCAGGACAGCGGTTCACAGCTGGAAGTGGTGATTATCCGAGACACGGTGTAAAGTGAGCAAGAACGCCATGACTGAGTACTTCTAAAGCCCGATCCATTTTAGCTCGTGCTGTCTACGAGCTGCAGAGATGGAAAAGCCTGGTAAAATGTTGTCAAGGGCAGCAGCTATGTGTCCAGGAAAAATAATCAATTTTGAAAGTAATGAGATCTAACCCGGTTTTTAACAGCCATCCGAATCTTGGCATTGTTCCCTGTGTCAAACCTCCGCTCATCCACAACACTCTGTCCTGGTTTGTAGACGAGTTACACAGCTGAAAAGTTTGTCTTCCTGCTCCGCTTCCCTCCACTGCGTTCATGTTTTATGCATCTTAGAAAATGTCTGCTCACACCTGAAGAATTATCAGCGCTGGGGAAAAATCAACACAGTCTGAGAAGGTGTTATCTCTCTCAGAGTATGGATATGAACCCCTCCTTTCATACTTCCCTGCCTACTACACATAACACAGAAACAACCCTTTTACGAGCCTTTATCTCTGAACCGGCCCGGGCAGGATTTGGGCAAAACAAAGAGAGGGAACAAAAGATTAGTTTTATAGGATAATCTTAGATTCGGTGAGGTAGTGTAATCCAATTGTGCAGGGAAGCTTGGAGCCGTGCGGTTTGCCTGGTGACCTTGACTTCATCCCCCGCCGAAACCCCGGTGGGAGATGCACTGGAGGCATACAATAACAAGAGCAGCCAGAGGAAAAGACAGGATGAGTTTGATCGCTTCAAGCCGAGTTTAATCTTTTTTTTAGAGCAATGCTTCCCTTTAAAAAACAGGCACATGCTGTATATCTAATCTGAAGAGGAACAGTGAAGCAGCTTGGTATAAACAAATTCCAGCCCCTGCCTCTGAGGCACTGAACTAACTGAAATTTATTACAGCAATTCCCACCTTAAGCAGATAAAAGTAAGTGATGAGGGGGGGTTGAGCCTATTAAAGCTTCAGGGTGACTACGGAAGAGAAAGAATATGTTAAAGAGAGACGGAGAGGGAGGGAGGAGAGCAAGAGCATAAATCTAAATTAAGAGAGTCGGATGAAACCTGCTGCAGGATCAACCACAACAAACTGTCAAGACAACAACAACAAGCATGCCTTTGTCTTACCAAAAAAGAAAGTTCAGAGAGCAGGGAGAGCGGATCAAAGCAGCTCGGTTATCAAAGCCAATCTGAAGTCCACCTTAAATTGCTTTAAGGAAGCCTGAATGGAGGAGGAAGGATGGAATGGTCCACCTGACTGGGAGGACTGGTGAGGCAGCGTTTATCGTAAAAAAAAAATAGTCCTCGTGCTTTCAACAAATACTCCCATTGTTCCCACCCACTACTCCACTGCTCCCCTCCCCGCGACTTTTGGTTTTTTAAAACTAAAACTACAGGAATCGACCGGTTACCTTCGCCTGGTCAGATGCCCACAACGAGCACCGAGCCACCGCGGTGCCTCCTCATCCTCACCCTCCTCCTTGTCTCGTCTTCTCCCTCCGGGCGGAGACTCTCCCCCGCTAGTTCTTCTTCTTCTTCTTCTTCTCCTGTGGCTCGACTTTCAACTTTACATGGACGAAGAGGATGAGCAGCAGCACCGTCTTCCGCACACGCCCGTCATCCTCCTCCTCCTCCTCTGAAGTGATGAATGCAACTATCCCGTGTTACTGGTCAGCCGCCTCCAACTTGCCGTCCCCACCATCAGCAGCATCAGCACCATGGTGAGACTCTGCCGGTAACTTCACTTGTTTCTTTACTTGTCGTGGGTGTGCCTGGGTGTTTCTGCCGGAGTGCGCGTCCACTCACACACCTGAAGTCGGAACTCACGCACTGGGAGCAGAGTGGTGAGGGTGTGAGGACGGAGTCCACGTCAGGTCGCTGTGGCGGCTCACCGCTGGATGGAGATGAAAACAAACTGCCACAAACCGTTTCTCCAGGAAATACGTCACGTCCAGAGCCGAGTGGAAACGCTGCGTGCGCTTGATTTGAAGCACCGCACGGGCCGTGGCATGGGCGGGGCACTTTTTTTTGAGGGTAGCTCGTGTCGAGTATAAACTCACCTTAAGTCACCTAAAGTGAAATAAATTGGAAAATAAAAAAAAAGATTCTGAATTTAATTTTTTATTGTCACTGTGTAAGCACAACAGAAATTACAAAAGTGTAATTCGCCAATCCTGTTATGAAGATTTAGAAAGTATAAGAAGAACTATACCATCAATCTATCAAATGTTTATTTCTATAGCCAATATTCTTAAATCACAATTTGTCTGTAACAAGGTGCGACATCCTCTGTTGTTAACCCTCAACAAGCGTAAAGGAAAAACTACCAACAAAAAACCAGCAGAAACCTCTGAGAGCCACATGTGAGGGATATCTCTCACATGTAACTGAGACCAGTATTTATAACTCTGATCAGAAGAAACCGTTTTTAACATCATGGAGAAGTGTGCCACTGAAGTATTTGTACATAAGAACATGTCTGATAGAGATGAAGGGAGCAGCAATGACAATGAGTTATTTTCAGTAATGGTGGAATGTGTGAGTAGATGTTTGTCAAGCAGTCTTGTTGTAATCATCATCCATGGTCAGCTGCCACCATGTTACTAGATATACAATACAAATATATAAAATAAGCAAACATTACTGAGATCTTCAATTTATTCTGTGTAACAATTCACAACTACAACTGTTTTTATATTATTATAGTGCATATTAATAAAAAGGGAAACACTTTCCTAATAGTTCTTTTTATGTTAGTTTGTGTGATGATGGTTGTTGTTGTTCACAAATGGATATTTACAGAAAGATGGAAAGACTGGTGTATTTCACATTTGATGATTTCTCAGCTTGAACATGAGGATTTCTAAATATTTACCACACAAGCTAATTTTTTTGTCTTATTATGTTAATACGACAGGTGCCTTCACTGTATGTCAGTGAACTTTATGGGTGAGAAATGTACAAAGAAAAATATTGTTGTGAGAGAATGGAGACTTTACTGAGGATATTCAGTAAAGTATATATGTTGTTTAGATATGTTGTACGGGCGACTGTTGCATTATTTTGTTTGTGAATATTTATTTTCCATCTCATTTTTATAATGATTTGTATGTTTTACTGTAAAGCTCATTGAGTCCACCTCTAAATGAAATGTCCAATGATAGAAAGATAAACTGAAAGACTGACAGATAGATAGATAGATAGATAGATAGATAGATAGATAGATAGATAGATAGATAGATAGATAGATACCCTGACCTCTGAACCTTTAACCTCGCCGTCCGAATATACAAAAAAACGTAATTCCGGGCTGCGCCGGGGTATAAAACACACACACCCTTGTTTTCCCCTCACAGCAGAGTTGAGCTTGTTATGTGTCTGTGTTTGGTCGCCATCTTGTGGCCGTCCACCGCAGTTGCACACACGGAAGTACGGCTGCCGTACGGTAGAGGGGGCCAGGTCTGGCTCGCACGGTCGAGTCTACCCCGCTGCAGCCTGGTACGAGAGAAACCCAGCCCGCTTCCAGCAGCGTTAACACGGACCAAAGTTATCCCGGAATAAGGACAGCACGCATGTGCCGTCAACCCGGATGTAGATGTTTTCTGTGCGCGTCGATCCTCCGCTTCGCCAAGTTCTGACACATTTGTCCGCAGGAACGAATGGTGTGTTTTAGCACCGGATAGACAAAGCTGCACCGGTCCGAGCCGTTCCTAACCGGGTTAGCGAGCAGCAGGCGTGACATGTGTGCAGCTACGTGGATGTCAAGCGTGAGAGACCGCTCCACAACAAGGAGAAGCAGGAGAGCTGCACTTTTGATTTACGACGCACGAACATAAGTAGGTGAAGTATTATTTTAATCATTAATGATGGACGTGATGCACTGTGTTTGTTCCTGGAGGAGCCATGACAACACGGGTTCTCTCTCCGTGTTCTCCTCCTGTGCCACAGACTAGACCTTCAGTCCGAGGATGGACTTCCGCGGCCGGAGACACGAGCGAGGCAGCAACTGGACGGACCCGGAGATCGTGGAGCTGCTGCAGCTGTGGTCCGACGAGTCCGTGCAGATCGAGCTGGAGAGTTCGCTCCGCAACCAGCGAGTGTTCGACCGCATCGCCCACGTCCTGCGGGAGAAGGGCATCTTCCGCACGGGGGACCAGTGCAGGGAGAAGATCAAGAAGATGAAGCTGGAGTACCGGAGAATCAAAGACAACCACAAGATGAGGTCCTGGAAGTTTTACGACGTGATGGACAGGGTGCTGGCGAACCGGCCCGCCATCACCTACGCCTCCATGGGCGGAGCTGTCATCGCCCAGCAGGTGTTCCAGGGCCCGGACGCGTACCTGCAGGGGGTCCCAGTCGGATCCTTCGGCCCTGCCTCCTCAGGTGGGTTTCTGTTCGGTCAGCCTCCTAAAGCAGGGGACCCGCTGGGTATAAAGTGTGAGGATGTGGAGGAGAGCCTGCTCAACTCAGGCGTCGCCCCCCCTGAGATGTACTACGGATCTGGAGATGATCAGGAGACCGATGGGCAATCTCTGCTGGGGCCTGAGGAAGCACTGGGGCGAGGAGAGAGCTCAACTAACCCAAGAGTCTCACCTTCAGGTTGGCAATACATGTACCATGATTATTACATGACGGTGGCACTGAGAGCTCAACACTCCAGTTTAAGGAAACACATGCAGATACTCACAAGACAGAGAGAAAACACCTTAATCAATTTGACAATACATGCTTTGCAAATAGAAATACATAGTAAATACTCCTAATACTTTAAACACTAGAATATACCGGCAACACTACCAAATACTCCCAACTCAAGCAAGTTCTCGCTACATGACCAAAAACTCACAACAAACCCAAACAATACTTGGAACACAACCAAATACAAATTTTAAGTTGTGTTCGAAGTATTAGCTTGTGTTGTGAGTATTCGCAGTGCATGTGTTGTCAAAATGATGAGGATGTTTTTCTATTAACATGTGTTGTGTCTATTTTCTAGTGTTTTCTTCTTTTGCTGTGCGTCAAGCCCTCAGGGCCACCATATGATCACCATGACAACCACCATAAGATTAAAAAGTGATCGGTAGTTATTTCTGTTTTTTCATTTCCCCAGGTTTAAGTGATGTGAATATTGCGGGCGCTGCAGCAGCTGCCATCCCGATCGCAGGTCGTCCTGTGTCACATGAGCAACCCAGTAAAGATGGTTCTCCTTCCCCAGCTTCTGCGAGACAGAGGAAACGTCGCCGCGGTGGGAAAACGTCATGGAGCCACGGGGGTGCTCGGTGTGGAGGTCAGGGCAGCCTGGACAGAGCCCTGGCCAGCTTCCTGAACTGGCAGAGGTCAGCAGAGGAGCGTCTCCTCTCCCTGGAGGAGGCACGACTGGAGAGGGAGCTGCAGGCCGAGGAGCGAAGGGAGGAGCGGGAGGAGAGACGGGCGGAACAGGAGCGCCAGCACGAGCTCCGCCTCTTCAGCATGCTCACGGGCGCGTTGGCTGCTGTCAGACAGGCTGCTCCGACCACTGTGACGACACCGACTGACCCTCGCGTCTCCCCCCAAGCTCATTCATCAGCCTCACTGATAACCACGGCTGCTCCCTCCGTCTCGTCATCTTTATCTCAGACGCCTTCGGAGGCTCCCGCATCTCAGGCTGTTTCCACCCAGGAGACAACAACCTTAACACCACCTACATCTGTCAAAGCCTCCAAAACGTCTCCGAGTGTTTCCGAAGCACTGACGGGTGCAGACTCTCCTGGCCGTAGCATTTACCTGTCCAATCGTGGTAATAGCATCCGACAGCATGTGGGTATTCTCCAGGAAGGGTTTGCCCAATACGCACTGAACAAACACCACGACACAGAAAACCCTGATGTAAGTCTGTGTCACTGCAGCCGTTGAATCGCTCTTATTATATAAAACGATTCTGATTATTCACCAGATCGTCTCCTCTCTCTTTCCCTCATAGGGTGTAATCAACATGGGAACCAGTGAGAACAAATTATGCTTCGATCTCCTTCTCAAGCGGGTGAGATAAATAGTGCGGTCAGATTCCTCCACTGACGATGCTGTGCTCTGAAATATGTTTGTCACTTCACATTATTCCAAATTATTTGACCCACTTTCACAAATTGTTTTCGTTCTCGTTTCTGCCACAGATGACCAAGCCTGACATGCTGCACATTGACCCGTCCCTGTTGCAATACTCGGATTGGAGGGGACACACATTGTAAGAGATTAAAGTGGAACTAAGAACTTCTGTCCCGTGGCTCCTAGTGAAGTAAACATTAACCATCTTCAAAACATTTCCATCTTTCAGCCTGAGAGAGGCGGTCGCAGACTTTCTGACTCAGTACTGCTCCGCTCCGAACCCGCTCAAAGCCGACAATGTGAGTGAAAGATTATCGCTTATAATGCTGGACTGTAACATAAGCAATGTAAACAATACCTGTGAGACAACTGCAGCTACAGGTGTGTGGCAGAAAATGAAGAAATGGCAAATCAGTCGATGCATTCTGGGTACAGATGTCGCGATCAACCGATTTTACGATATCTGATGTTTCAGAATGTCATGATTTCATAACCGTAAGAATTGTAAAAACTACGATATCTATCTATGGTGACCTGCCTCTTGCAAGTCACGTTATTTGTGTGTAAGGACGTGAAGAATGTGGCTTGAACCAGGACACGTTTAGTTAAAAAAAAAAAAAAAACTTCCGTTGGTGACCCTTCACAATAAAAGTCCCATACAGATACACTGCTCATGATGACAGGAAACACAAATTCACAGACCAACCTTCCACAATAAGTCAACTAAAAAAAATGGCTCACATAAATTAGTTTTAAATAGCCAAACGCTACACTATAAAAACTAACCTGATATTGTTGATGATAATAATGAATATTGCAGTTAATTAGCTATATATTCGCTATATTT